GGTGAGATCATCCGGAGTTTCGGGGTGCGGTGTCATCTGTACGCAGATGATGTCCAACTCTGTCACTCCTTTCCACCTGCTACTAAGGAGGCTGTCGAGGTCCTGAACCGGTGCCTGGCCGCTGTAACGGTCTGGATGAGGGCGAACAAACTGAAACTAAATCCAGACAAGACAGAGGTACTCCTGGTCAGTCGCAAGGCCGAACGGGATATAGGGTTACAGCCTGTGCTGGACGGGGTCGCACTCCCCTTGAAGGCGCAGGTTCGCAGCTTGGGTGTGACCCTGGACTCGTCGCTGAGCCTGGATCCCCAGGTTTCAGCGGTGACCAGGGGAGCATTTGCACAGCTTAGGCTCGTGCGCCAGCTGCGCCCGTATCTCGGGAAGTCTGACTTGGCCACGGTGGTACACGCTCTTGTCACATCCCGCCTTGGATTACTGCAACGCTCTCTACGTGGGGCTGCCCTTGAAGACGGCCCAGAAGCTTCAGCTGGTTCAGCGTGCGGCAGCCATGTTACTAACTGGAGCGGGTAGCAGGGAGCACACAACGCCCTTGTTGTCCCAGCTCCATTGGCTGCCGATTTGCTACCGGACCCAATTCAAGGTGCTGGTTTTGGCCTACAAAGCCCTAAACGGTTCCGGCCCAAAATACCTTTCTGACCGCATCTTGGCCTATGAGCCCACGAGGACCTTGAGATCGTCTGGGGAGGCCCTTCTCTCGATCCCGCCTGCATCACAGGCACGGCTGGCGGGGACGAGGGAGAGGGCCTTCTCAGTGGTGGCCCCCCGGCTGTGGAACACTCTCCCGGCACACATCAGACAGGCGCCCTCCCTTATGTCCTTTCGAAAAAGCCTTAAGACCTGGCTGTTCGAGAGGGCATTTAATTAATGTGCTAAGCAACAATATTACGGCAATGAGAACTGGAATGGTATAAGGAAGATGAGACTGGCTATGATTCTATTAAGAGACGAAGCGGATTTTTATGTAGTTCGTGTTTGTTGTATAGTTATATGTTGTTGACACTGGCTTTTGTAATTGTCTTTTTATGTGTACTGTACACCGCCATGAGTCGCCCGTAAGGGCTGAGAATGGCGGTTAATAAGTGCATCAAATAAATAAATAAATAAATTCAGTGCTAATCAAGTTGGCCAATAGCAACATTCAGACTTGTCACAAGCAGACAAGAGTTCTTTCTCCCACCCTGGACATTCCACAGATATATAAACCTCACTTGCCTAGTTTCCAACAGATCTCACAAAACTTCTGAAAATGCCTGCCATAGATGTGGGTGAAAAGTCAAGAGAGAATGCTTCTGGAACATGGCCATACAGCTCAACAACTCACAGGAACACAGGCATTATTATCAGTAGCAATGTAGCAGCGATATATTTGTGTGGCAGTTGAACACTTTTGGCTGCGGGGTGTCTAACCCAAAGAAGAATGACCATAAAGAGACTTGTATAATCATTTTGAGAAATTTATTTTGCATAAAAAGAGATTTTTGCACACAAAAAAATTAATAATGCAAATGTACAAATATAATCTTGCCTACCAGGGCAGAATTTTTGAAATGTTTATACTTCTGTGAAAAATGGCAGAAGTGGATAAAATACATAAAAGAAAGACCAAACACGTGTGAGTGGAACGATCCCTGAACTAGAAATGAACGTGTGTGCAAAGCATTCTGGCTTAGGATATGGATGTGCTAAGAATATCTGCCTAAGTAATATTTTGAAACCTGACCTTTCTTTTCTCTCTCTTTCTCTTTTCCAGCTACCACTTCTCCAGCTGGTCTGGCCCCAGTGTTTCTCTTCACACAATATCATTGACGGAGAAAAGCAAATCTATAGAGGATTTGATTCACGGCATAAAAACAGCTGCCCTGTTCAAAAATTCAAGATTTTTCATCAACTCCTCTGCCAGTGATACAGATGGAAATATGGAAAGACAGGATGCTGCCTGAATTATGTTTGCACTTTCTAAAATACCAGAGCTATTGTAATCCTGTTAGAGACTATATGCTATAATGGATAAATATACAAGATCTTTTGAACTCAGCAGTTTGGCTGGCTGGCAAAGGTAGCAAAACAGCTGATGGAAAGGGGAAAGCAGAGCAAGACTACTCACTGGTCCCTATGTGATGTCCAAGTCAGATAACAACTTACCTTTACATATGCTACTGCTATCAAATGCAGTAAATGTATGCCTGCAAAGGATATTACAGAATGTTCTCCCACAGTGAAGAAAAACGACAGCAACTTCTGCAGAATATATTGTTATTTCTCTGATTTCTCTTCAGATCATATACATCTTTTGCCATTTCTCAGGAATCTGATAAAACCGTTCCAAATGGGCATAAAAATGTGGTGTGAAAAAACCCTGCTGTGGGTTCTTCTCATAACCCTGTGGTCCAATTTCCTCCTTAATATTTATAAAGATGACTTTACCAGCTACAGTTCTGCTTTGCAGTCAGAAAATACATGAGAAGTTTATGTGGCAATGAAACTCCAGACAGACTCAACTTCTTTGAAAAACTGTAGTCAACAAAGCCTTTAAAGTCCCTTTTATAACTGCAGCTATCACATTACTGGAAAATATAGATCTGTAAATCTGAGAGACAGCAATAAGCTTGGAAGTATTATGTATTATGGACGAAGCCATCCAGACTTTCTGTGTTATCTAAGCTTCATAATTTCCCGATCTTAGTAAAGCTGCTCTTCTTTTTTTAATTAGTTGTGTTCATATGTATCCATGATTTTGTGGATCTACCTTCTGTATGTTTGTTAGGTGGGTGGAAACACTGCCAGTGGATCTGTATCAAATGAAACAGAAGTGGTTAATAGGTTTTAAGCTGAAATGAAAATATTGGTGGTTCTCAACCTGTGGGCCCCCAGGTGTTTTGGCCCACAATTCCCAAAAACCCCAGCCAGTTTAGCAGCTGTTAGGATTTCTGGGAGTTGAAGGCCAAAACATCTGGGGACCTACAAGTTGAGAACCACTGTTCTAAAGGAACAAATGGTTTTTCATATTCATCTTGATTTAATTCAAGATGGTGGTGGAGGTGGCAACTCTGCTGGGATCTTGGCAGTTTGATTTTCTTGCTAAGCTTCATTGTTTTGTAGTTTTATTTTATAGTTTTTCCTAATAGTTTCATCCCCTTTTTACTAGTATTCAACTTGTCCCCTTAACCAAGAAAACTTTCACAATTCTTCCCACCCACATTTTATCCTAAATACAAGGTTTCCACATTCCGTTATCTTGTTGGCAGATCTCATCTGCCTTTCCATTGCTTTTGATATTTGATGTCAAGTTCTGCTTCTTGTGCAGAACTTGTAGTTTCAGCTTCCATTGTTTGTTCTGTCCTTTCAAATTCCCAGTGCACCTGAGTAAATACAGGCATGAAATATAGCCTCATGTTTATAACAAATGACTTTTTGTGCATCCTTGGCAAGTAAAAAAAGTATACCCAATTCATATTTTCCAATTAGTTTAATCATTTTCTAAAGTTGCCTTGAAAAAAATTAATTTTCCAAATGGGGAAAAAAGAGATAACGTGGAAAATTATTGGAGACCTCTATGTTATTCTGCCAGATTAATTAGAATGGGAAGTCTGTGTTTAGTTGATAAATGAAATGCATTTTAAGAAAAAAAAAAACCCTGTTATTTCTCCTTTTTTCTGCTCCAGGGTAACAATATGGTATGAAATACATTTGGATTACAAACAAACAAGAGGCTGAAAAACTTTTAAGATAAACTCAGTTGTGTAATAGAAACTTTTCAGATATTGAACCTCAACAAAAACATTACATTCTTAATATAAACCCCCAGTTCTTAATTTACACCCCCAGTAATTTGCATTCATTCCGTATGAACTCTCTTGTGTTACAATGGATGCTGTGTACATTATTTCACTGAATGTTCATAGTATTTCACTGAATGTTCATCATTTTTCATAGTAGACGGCAGGTCAAATGAATGTCTCTTGTGGAAGAAAGTACTGCTCTTTGGCTTGGGCCCTGTACTGCTGCATCACCATTAATATAGATGAGCATGTTTTTAAACATTTGGCGGGAGACTATGGATCCTTTCAGCATTGCAGAGGTGTGGGAAGGGATTACTAACCTGCTTGAGACAGGAGAAGGCACAGCAAAGAAGAAAATTTGCATTGTAGAAGTTGGCTCATTAATGGTGGTTCCTATGTTCATGCATTTTAATCTACCATTTTAACTGTTGGGTTGACCTGATATTTGGTTCTTTAACATACAAATGATAGGCTTTCAACTAGAGCTGTCCATGATGTGGTCTATGGATTGTTTGTTTGTTTGTTTGTTTACAGTATTTATATTCCGCCCTTCTCACTCTGAAGGGCAGATAACAGAACACATATCCGGCAAACATTCAATTCTGTTATACACTGATAGGATAGACAACTGTACATAGATAGAGGTATATATAGGCTTTCCCATCTTCAGCATCTTGGAGGCTTGTGCTTGGTTCGGCCACCGGGGGGGGGGGGGTTTGCTGTCGCTCCATCTTCCCTGCCGAAGAGCTTTTTTTTTGTAAAGTTCCTCCTTGATCAAATTGATGGTATTTTTCTAGCATTTCCTTGTGGGTGCCTTAAATACCTCCTATTTTTTATTTTTTAAAGTCATTTTAGATAATGTTGCAGAAAGACCCCTCCAAATACATGGAAAAAATGCAAGGCACCACCCATGCAAGGACCCCACAACACCCTAATACTTTCCATTTTCCTATGTTCCTCTCAAAATAGCAAATGATAAATATTGCATTGTCACTTCCTGTTATCATTTTGAGATAGATTACATAGAAAATGGAAGTATTGGGGCTTGCTGTGGAGAATGTAGCTCATGATGGGGAGTGATGTGGTGAGGAAAATTGGCCCCTGGCCTTCACACAGTTGTTTACCCCTGCTTTGCTTAAAACTTGTTTTACAGCAAGATTTCAGATAAAAAACTGTTTAAATGTCTTCTTTCTTCCATAGATACATTCTCAGGGCTTGATGCTGATGTAACTGGGACTACAGAATCTTACGTGATATATGATGAAGGTATTGGCGGATAGTAAAACATCTTTCTTTTGCAGTATTAGGCTACTGTCCTTTCTTGCTCTTCTCCATAAATACATTCTCAGATGTGTACTAGTAGTCTAGACTCAACACACACTTCTGTGCAGCTGAAAAAATGAAGTTATTTTATAATTGTTCTCGGTGTCCCAAGGATCAAAATAAAGTTTACTGGGCGAGATCCATACACACTTCAGTACCACTATTAATCTCTGATCACTAACCATTTCATGTCAGGTTTGCAGGCATTATATTTCAAATATCTTTGTCTACAATGGAATCAAACATTAATACCACTAGCCCTGATGTGCATGCATTGTGAGTAGGAACAGTAGGATGTTGGTGAGTAAGGAGCACTTAGAGTATCCATAGCTCCTTTTGTTGCCAGTGCCAGGGGTAGTAGTAGTGGATGCTGCTGAAATATTTGATTTGTTTGAGACCTTAATTCTGTCGACTTATTAATTTTGTCGGGCTTTTAAAGGCAAGGTATACCTAAGAAGTGGTTTTATCAGTTCCTTCCTCTATGATAAATCCAAACCAAAGATCCTATTCTACTGCTATTATTGCAATTTGGCTGCCTCATATGACAGAATCTAGAGCACATTCACTGGCACTGTACACTGGATCTATGATGTGTGACATGCATTAATAGGCCTAATGTTTATCATCTTGCTTTTTTACCTAGACTATGAGTTTTTTGAAACCACGTTGCCTCCCTCTACCACCACCATTGCAACCACCACAACAGAAGCCCTGCCTGAAACCATCTTCCCAGAGTTCAGTGTCACAGGCACAGATCCTCTCTCAGAATATGATGCTGCTGGAAAGAAACGATTTACTGGTATGTCTGAAGCTCTCTTTTCTTCAATTTCAGTGATTTAATGGTATAGCTACACATGATGCTAAGTGCAGAGTGATTGCTGATTTAACAGGAAGTGTCTCCCGTTATTGTTGCAGTGTGTTTTTCGGTCAACTCTGACTTACGGCAATCTTTTCTTGGCAAGATGTATACAGAGGCGGTTTGCCATTGCTTTCCTCTAATACTGAAAGAGTTGGACTTGCCTGGAGTTTGTTATTTCCTTCTCACCCCCTTGGAAAACACTTGCAGATGGCCTCTGCATGCTAAAAATGTCTGTGTTTGTAATTTGGCCATGCCAACCTGCTGAAAATCTGCATTGTGGTAATTTGAAAATGAATGAAGCAGCAACAAATTTTTGCCTTAGATCTATTTATTACAGTAGCACCATGGAGCCAAATCGAACTGATGACAGACATTCCACACTTGCCAATTTTTTCCAGTGATTAATGGCAGCTCTGTGGGAATAGAGTGTGCATATGTGTTCGTTTGTGAAATCATGCCCAGCGCCATCTTAGCCCTTAGATGTCACTTGTCAGAGTTGACCATTTAATTAATTATGCAAACATGGCATGCCTCTCCTCTTCCAGAAAGCGTTTCTCGGTTATTTGAATTAGAAAGAATTGAGAGTGTCTGAAAATAAACAGGTGTTGGAATATTACTCCCTGAAGGAATGAAGTCTTAACAAGATAAATTTTAAAAAGTCCTTATGAATACCTCATGTCATTCAAAGGGAGTGGGGCAAAGGGCGCTTTTTAATAAAATCTGTAAACTGTAACTGAATAAACATTTGTTCATTAATTCATAAGCTATGTTTAAGTGAACATTTTTGTTTCTGTAATGCAGAAATATCTTTCCAAGAGTGGTGCCCAATTTTGCCCTCTAAGTCACTTCTTCTCCAGTTACTTTTTCATGGCTTTCTTCAGTACCACTGATAGTTTTTTTTTCTTGGATGTTGGGTTTTTTTTTCATGCCATAGGTATTTTGTGGGGGAAAGTCAGATGTCTCTTGCTAAGTAGATCAGATTTAGCCCAAGGGCTATCACTTGCTGATCCTTAATATACTCTCTGAACCTTATAAACAAACATGGGTGTGTTCCATGAGTATTCATGTATATGAATGCAACTTGTTGTTCTCAGATCATTCCTTTCCTCAGACTTCCGTCCTGAACACAGTGATTTTTTGTTGTGCTGGTGGTTTCCACCCCAGTGGATTTATGTGAATTCTAGGTCTCCAGATGGCATCAGTTTACAGACTTGATTTTTTTTTTAAAAAAATAGCAGAAAAATGTACTTGTTATTAGTTCAGGAAATGAATGTCTAATTTACTGGTGTGTTTTAAATGCATACTTTATCTGGTTTGCAATTTCAACTCACTGTTGAAATTCTTTTTAATGATGGGATTTTGTTTTCTTTTTAAAAAGTAATCAATCAGTTTTTGGAAACTTTTGGAATAAATAATTCCACTTTCTATTTTGTTCCAGCTCCTTATGTGACTTATCTAAACAAAGACCCGGGAGCTCCTTGCTCATTGACAGAGGCACTGGATCATTTCCAAGTAGAGAGCCTGGATGAAATCATACCCAATGACCTAAAAAACACAGAGATGCGTCCTCAGAAGGCCCCTCACAATATTACCGTAGTAGCTGTTGAAGGCTGCCATTCCTTTGTGATTCTTGACTGGGCTAAACCTATGCATGGAGACATGGTCACAGGTACAGTAATACTATCTACTTGTGATGAATGATCTTGTGATGGTTTGCCAATCAGTTGGTTTTCATTACTAATGATATCTGCACTGAGCAAACTTTCATTTTGCTGCCATTTTTTTAATATAGGCATGTTTTTATTAATTAACCAAGCTCAAATGGACATGACCAATGAAGTATTAATGAATTTATGGAAGTGGTGTTTCAGTGTGATGTCACAATTTGTTTTAACTAAAGTATATTATTCTTTTAATGTTTTATTACATATTTTAATATGTTAATGAATCACCTTATGTCCTATTGGTTCACATATCAAGGTTAAAAGGATTATATACATAGAGTTTCTCTTATCCAAAATGCTTGGAACCAGAAGTGTTTTGGATTTATACTTTTTAATTTTGGAATGCCTATATTTGCATGTGCTACATGATGAAATATCTTGGATATGTGATCCTAGATGCAGCATTCAGTTAATTTTATTATACACATTGCATGAAGGTATTTTTATGTACAATACTTCTAACAGTTTTTGTGCATGAAACAAAATTTGTGTACATTCAGCTATTAGAAATCAAAAGTGTCACTATCTCAACCAACCTTGTGAACAGTTTCAGATTTTGGGAAATTTCAGGTTTTTGGATAAGGGATTCTCAAACTGTATGTATTTTAATACATATATAGAATATATTGTATATGCACACACATACATTATTTTTGTTAAAATAATTTTGTGTAATATAATGGAGCAAGATCCTGTTAAATGTTGAATATTTGCCATCTTTTGTTGGAATCTGCCCTGAATCCCCTTAGGGAAAGAGGGTAGAATATAAATCAAGTTCTATATTATTATTATTATTATTATTATTATTATTATTATTATTATTATTATTATTATTATATAAATGTTGACAAGCCAGAAGGCCTGGTCAATGTAGTTGCACAGGATTTCTCACTGCAGCTGTTGGGCAAGCAATTTTGGCCAACCCTGAATTGTGAATTCTGCTTGTTCAGTGAGCTGCTGGTGGATATCTCTGTGTATGCTCCATTCCTTTGACACCATAGAATCCTGTCCATATGGAATGGATTTTTATATAAAGCTTTAAAAACTGAACACATGAATTAATCACCATCTTATTTTTGGAACATAATAAAATGCATATCATGTTGCCTCTGTATGTGCTTCAAGGCACCTGTTGATGTATGATGATCCCATGAATTGAACAGGATTTTCCTGGGCAAGGAATACTCAAAAGTGGTTTTCTATTGATTTCCTCTGAAATATAGCTTGCAGCATCTAGTATTCCTTAATCGTGCCCTTTCCAACTGCTAATGTGGTCTGACCTCTCTTAGCTTGCAAGCAGATAGGATCTAGTGACTTGAGGGTACATACCCTGCATTGCCTATATTTGGATGCATTTTTTTAACATGATGGAGAACACTGCTTTGAGTTTCCTTGTGGAGAGAAAAAGTGAGGTATAAATAATAATAATAATAATAATAATAATAATAATAATAATTTCAAATGGATTCTGTGGCAAGGGACAGTAGTCTGATTGATGGAGCCTCTTCCCACTTAGGGTTTTGTGAAAGGCAGCGGGGTAAGGTCTTGGAATCAAACAGAGAGCTTTCACCTTGTTCACACTCAAGGGTCATTGCATTGAAACAATGACATGTTATTTCACTAACCGCAGCTTTCCTCAATCACTTGCCATTTTCAGTTGTAGTACCAGTCAGACCTTGGAAAAGTTATTTTTTGGAGTACACTTAGTTCATAATTTTGAGAGTTGGAGGCAAAAAAAAGTCTTCCAAGCTCTAAGTCCAACACAAACATATGGCTCCTGCTTGAAGATGGCTAAGTCATAGTGACAATCTCTTGGTTCCGTAGTACTGTACCGCAGGACGAATGGCTCAGAAATTGCAAGCTGATAAGCAAAATTAGAATGAATTACTAGTTTTAAGGGTAAACTTTATTATTATTCATCTTGAAGAAGTATTTGAAATTAACATAATTCATACATATTCCAGTATAGCTGCATGCAGCAACAAGCAGTGCACCATTTAAGCCTTCAGAAATTCAGAAGACTTATCTGAAGACTTATTCTTTTAGATTTTTGAGAAAGGCAGTTTAGAGATAGAGGGGGGGAAAGCATTTCAAATGCTAAAGGCTAAACCATGAATAACACCAAAGATATTACTTGGGTTTTAAAAATGAAATAGATTTGTCTAATCTAACATTAAGAGTCAGTTGAAGTTTTAAGTGTTGAACTAGACCTCTGGGAGACCAGGATTCAGATTTCTACTCAGCCATGGAAACCCACTGGGTGGCCTGGCAATGGCACTCTTAGCTTTATAGAAAGGCAATAACACATCTCCTCCGAATAAATCCTGCCAATAAAACATGTTTATAGGTTTGCCTTGAGTTGGAGTTGACTTGAAGGCACATGACAATGGTAACCACAAATTTAAAACTGGATTATGTGGTTGATAATACCCACCATCTTCAAAATCTCAAGGAAATCCACCAGGTGCATTGGCTCAGAGCCAGACAAGAAGAGAATAATACAATGCAGACACACTTCCGAATGTAAATAGCATTAAAACATATTAATCTAGATTTATTGAATGAAAAGTCTATTGTGAGATGTGAATGTCTGTTAGACATGATTAAGTGGAATGTCAACATATCGGATTTTTCTTTAATGTGTTGAAAGAGTGTATTTATCTGGGTCTTTCCGTTGTGGTTAGTTCTGTGCTTTAAGGCAGAATAAGACATTTGAAGAATAGTTCTATGAGAACATGCCATGCATTTGGATGTGGCAACATTACTTCTCTCTCCAAAACTCAAGTATCTAATACAATCAGAAATTCTCCATATCAGCAATATTGACAGACATTTGGCTTGGATATACACAACAAATGCATATTTGTGGTACTAAGTAACTCCCCCCCAACCCCCTCCCCCCCCCCCACACACACACACGCACACACTACTTGCTACTCCATTGGTATAGTTGCTACTCCATTGGTATATGTCAAGGAAGAAATAAATGACATTTCATTCTTAGTCCCTAGAATAAACTTTGATATATTACTGTGGCCAGTATCATCATGATTGTCATCATTGCCATTGTCATTTTATTATTACAGTAGCAATATTAGTCTTTTCTAGCATTAAAAAGAGAAGCAGAATAGGATCAATATGAGATGCCATTTTATGAGTATGAACGGTAGAACAAGTCTACATCTCTTCTACATGAGGAATGTATTCACATTTAGAGGGGTTATAATGGGGACTTTGTTCTTTGAAGTCAATAGAGGGGTTGTGACCACAAATCCAGGGAAATTTCACACTTTCTTCAAACCAAATCTTATTCAATGATATATAGCAGCCTTCTTCAACCTGTACCCTCTAGAGCAGTGGTTCTCAACCTGAGGGTCCCCAGATGCTTTGGTCTTCAACTCCCAGAAATCCTAACAGCTGGTAAACTGGCTGGGATTTCTGGGAGTGGTAGGGCAATATATCTGGGGACCTACAGGTTGAGAACCACCTGCTCTAGAGTTACCTTTGTCAACTGCTATCCATTGCTGGTGGAGATGGGAATTGGACCTCCTCTCTTGAATGATAGTAAAATGCACTTTGAAAACAAAATCTTTGTTAAAGGTATCTTGATAATGAATAAACAAAGCACGATTACAACCATAAAAGTCATACTGCTTGACAAATTAAAAATCACTATAGTAACAGACCAACTTACATGCTTAAGACTTGCTTGAGTAAATTCTTTCTTTTTCTGCCACTGGAAGAACAACAAAGAGGTAATCAGTCTAAGTGGAAGGACCTCCCAAAAGTCTTCAAAGGAATACGACCAATGGTTACTGCATATTGACCTGATAGTAATTCAGGTGGTGTATTGGACTGTAAGGCTTCCTTTCTATCTCCCAGCTTAATATATCATCTTCTTTTCTTCACAGGATATTTGGTTTACAGTGCATCATATGATGACTTCATCAGAAACAAATGGTCAACCAAGTCTTCAGGAAACACAAATTTACCCATTGAGAACCTGAAGCCAAATACAAGGTACTCTTCTGTTTGAGTAATACAGCTATTATTTCAAAAACATATTGAAAGTGAACTAAAAATAAATCAGGTATAAAGCTTAGGATGAAGAAGAATTTCAGAAATGGGTGGTGTTTCAGAAAGTTGTATTGTAAGAATAGCTTCCAAATTCCACCTAGGTTTATGGAGTCTTGGTAGTATCAATCTCAACTTGCTAGTTTTCTGTCCCTTGACTTTCCTAACATACCAAATTGTGAGTGGAAGAAAATAACTGCTGATGCTTAACTAAAAGGCTGCTTCTGTGTTGGCCCAGACCTCTAAATAGTTCTTTCCTCCAGCAAGAGCTCCAGAAGGCTATTTTTAATCCTCTAACTTATTTACCCAAAAGGATAAAACTGCTAAAATTATGTACTAATAATGGAGAGTTCAAGCATATTTAGAAACGTTCATTGTTGAGTTCTGAAAACCAATAGAGACCCCATTCTTCTTTGTACTTTTCTTTGTACATTTTTGAGCAGTCCAATTTCAGCTTAGGAAAGGGAGTTAATTTGCAAATGTGAGGGCTGTGAGGGCAAATGTGAGGGCTGTAATTTGCAAATGTGAGCTCTAAATGAGTTTGATTCTGAATCAATTTGGATGGATGGATTTAACCTTTCATTAATCAGAGCATATCACCGTGACCGTAGTTTCAAAGGCTGCTGTGTGTGTCCAGTTTTCTCAATTCTTTATTTGTTACCTATCTTCTTAGAGTGGTCATTCCCACAAAGAGGAAATGCATAATAAAAAAGAGGATAGTTCTGTATGAAATATGGATATTATACCATCCATATTTAAATACAGACTTAGAAAACAAAATTCATAATTTAACCAGAACAGCTCACCATTGTGGAGAAGACTGTGACCAAATGACCTCTTTGCTTACGCTCAGTTTGCTGCCGAAGTAATAGATGCTAATGAACAGCTGCAGAGCCACTGCTGTCCATTTTTGAACTTTGAACCAAACTTGGGATGAACAACTAAATAGAAGTTTGTACTCTGTACAGTGGGACATAGCCACCTTATTTCTAGTAGAAGTAGCAAATTTTTAGTATGAAAAAAGTTTCAAAATCATAACTTACATGGGAATGCATTTGCAGAAAATAACTGAGACCTAGATTGAGGTGTGGGATGCATGGTCTGTCAGATAATGTTCCTATCAGTATAGGGAAGTATTGAAGGAGCTCTAGTGTGTTCATACGTGAGGAGCTTCATGTTCCAATTTCCACAACTGATGAATCCCTTAATGTTGCTTGTTAATGCATTATAGTGTAATTCTACACTAATTTCCTCCTCAAAGGATGCAACAATTATTTATAGCAGTTTTCTTCTCAATGTGATAAAGTCTTCCATTCAGTTTCAGAAACCTCTTCACATTTCAGGACTTGCTCTGTGAAAAATGTGCCTGTTTTGGACTGAAAACTCATTAAAAATAGATGAAACAGGTTTTTTTCTGCACAGAAAATGTTTCTGTGTTGCCATAAAATTTCAGTTGGGGACTTACTCTGCAGAAAAGTCACACTGTTTTTTGTACTGTGAATGGCATTTTCTGCACCATGTGCAAGTTTTCCTTAGAGCAAGTCCTGAACTGTGAAAATTATGTTCCTATTTATTTATTTGCTGTATTTTATCCCACTTGTTTCAGTATAAGGACTTTACTGATCAGGGTTCCTTGACCTGGACAAAAAAATTGCAATTTTTTGAACATCCTTTCCATTCCTATCTAGTATTGTGCTATATAGTTTGCTTTGAAGAGAGCCTACATATGAGGCACAGTATAGGTTATTAAAACAAAAAAACAACCCATCAGTTCAGGGCAGTTCCTCAGTTGGTAGTGTGTTACTACTTGGTTCACTACAGCAGTAAGTGAAATTGTTTTCTCAACCTTAGAAGCAGGATTGCTTTAGCAGCTTACAAAGTTATGGATTCTGGGTCCATAGATCTATGGACCTGGGTCCATAGATATTGCCTTTCTGAGACTCCAAGGGTATCCTGTGAGCAAACGCAATACAGTGGAATGTTTCAGAACATGCCTGATAAAGGAATATATGTATTTAGCTACAAACACCAGTTGCAGACATTAGCTTGTGCTCATCTAGGGCCGAAGTGTGCAGTGGATAGCAGTACAGATGTAAAATCCACTCACACCTTTTGTGTCTAGTTGCATTTTGATTTGTGCATGAAGTCAGTGCAAAAGGCTGTAAAGCATGGACCAAAAGCCAGCGGAGCCTGAAAAGTGATTTTGGGGAGATTACAACTCTGCAAAAATGGGAGTTGTGGTGACGGTTCCAAGCTCAGTTCAGTGCAGTGAGACAAAGAGGGTTGAGGGGAGGAGTGAGAGCAAGTGGAGTTTGGAATTACGCACCCTACAAATATATTTTAGCCATATTTATAGGCAGACACATATCTACACAAAGAGTCAGATCTACCAGAGCAATTCATCATTGCTTCAGGTGCTCAGAAATGTGTGTCATGAAGGTAACATATATTTTGGTGAGATGCTGCCTTCCATTCACTTAGGTGGGGCTTACTGAATACTGTATTATGATTCTGCAGCTGTTTTCCACTTCAGTTCAGCCAGAGATCATTGCTGTCGGGCTGTTTCTTGAAAACCAAATGGTTTCCATTATGCACTTTTGAAAGAAAGAAAAAGGGAACTAAGGATCTAAGCTACATGGGGTGAGGCTGGGGATTATTCTTTTTCTCTGGCATCAAAACGCAGTGTACATTGTCAGCCATTATTATTTGTATTCTCTGTGAACTCATGGGCTGAAACAACCCCAGATCATTTGACATAAATAGTTTTTCAACCACTAGCAACATTTCTGTAATTGGGCAAACACGAACTGAAAGATTAAGAAGGACTAAAACCATGTGTTCATGATTATGTGCAGATTTTGAGGAAACTCTGACTCAGGCTAAACTAAACTCTACAGTAAATATATGTTCTACAGAATTCAGATCAGTTTCTCTCTTACTTATAAGTAGGCACATGTGATCCCCATCTGGATCATGTCTGCTTTACATTCGTGGAGGATGTTTAATGAGCAAAGGCTAAAAGAGGGGGGAAATGGCATCAACGGAGTCATTTCCCCCTTCCCCTCCCCTCTGTGTGGCGTGGTTTTATATAAATTGGGAATGGACGTTTAAACATCCCTCTCCTGTCCATCTAGTTCCAGTTCAAATGAGGACAATATTTTCAAGTAAAAAGAAAAAAAATACATACACACTATGTATGTATTATAGAACTAAGTTGAGCCCTGATTTCTTTTTCCTGGGGCTAGATGTGACTCTGTATTTCCATACACATTCAAATGCAGGTTCTTATGTTGTTGCTTGAGTTAAAGTAAAACAAAAAAACCACAAGCTGCTTATTTCACTAAAGACATTAATTCAGATCCTGGTGGGACTGTGAAATGTGCTGGAAAGGAAAGCACAGAGTTCCCTTACACTCCATTGGTTTTACATGAAAGTTGAAATTTTATAACGGTTCTGCTTTTTAATATTCTTAACTATATCGAAAATCTACTTCTTTGTGTTTTTGAATATCTCAAGTCTGAACTATTTAGCATTTTTAAATTTAATAACATGTAAATTTAACTCATATATAATAAGGTTATGGGGATAAATCATAAACATGGTGATGGGTTTGAAATATGGATCATGATATGGATTATTAATTTGGAATGATCGATGAACTATGTTGTACAGGCTTAAACTAACACGTTTGTCTCCTTGACAACTTTTAAACTAGGAATGTTATTTATTTATTTGAAACAAATTCAGCTTGTAAAACAAAGATGAACTCATCCCTTGAAAACAGAACCATCACCATTTGCTTGGGAGGATTTTTTTTTCCTACTCAACCACCAGAGTTTATTTTAAAGTTACATCATTTACATAATAGGTTGCTTGTGTAAACCATTATTTTAAAATTACTGCTGTGGCTGTTTGGTACAGAGCCATTTCCGTTGTAGTGTCCAGATTAATAGACTCCCCTCCAAAATATCTTCCTGTTTTTAAGGACCAGCTGTTTTTTGTGGGATTTAATCTTGGATTGTTTTAAATTTGTTTCTTATTCTTCTGTCTTCTGTCTGAGGTAGTTTCTGAATTGTATGCTAATCTTTGCAGTCATATTGGGGGATTAGGAATGTTAGGTCAGAACTGACTCTTTAACCTTGACATGGCTACCTTTGAACATCATTTGCTAGCAAGGTGAAATAAAAGTATTTTTTAGGGCTTTATATTTTTCTTTCAGTATGATCCTCATATCCATAGGGGATGTGCTCCTGGATGTAATGTGGATATGTGAAAATCAGTAATAATAGCCAATCATATTGAAGTATTGAAGTCTGGGTCAAGAATACCATAAAATCACACTAGAGAATCTTGAACATGCCTAGAAAGGACTTTTTGTGGGCTGTGGATAAATGAATCATGGATATGAGGCCAGACTATGCTTCAAGAATCAAGTTGTTTTTTATAGACCTGAACAAGTTAAATCCAGATGGGCCGGTAGCTCTGGCAAATGTTTCCTTTCTGTTTCTAGATGTCACAAGACTTGTAAAACCTTGTAATGGTTGTATCCACTCATGCATTCAATCCTGATCTAAATATATCTGGGGCTTCTCATACTTTCTGCTACCACACTGCCCTACATCCCTGGATCTGATCCCATATTATCTGCTTATCCCAGATTATCTGGCAGTGCAGACTCATATAATCCAATTTAAAGCAGATAATCTGAGATCAGATACTAGATTATATGGCAGTGTAGGAGGGATCCGTGATGTTTGAGGGATTCCACAATCATACCTTCCATGATCAAAACACCTTCCTTCGATGCTCCTGCACCAGCACATCCATTCCCAGTTTTTTGTTTGTTTGTTTGTTTGCTTTTGGAAATAATTTTAGTTAAAATGCATTGGTATAAAGCACTATACAATTTCAGCACTTTATTTGTATAAGGACAAAAGATATTATTC